TACATTTTACATGGTTAAAAACTTTTCTATAGTAACTCATTAATGTGGTATTGCTGATCAGCTATGGTTTTAATCTAATAACATAAAATTATGACTCCTTTTATGAAATAATAATTCTCCAAGTTCAAACGGAATACAAAACTAGATATTTTGAGTCCATTATGGGGTTGATATACTGTAAAAAGTGATTAGTTAATTGTGAGTAAACTAGTTAAAAGTTAGTAAAAGTTACTGTAAGCACTATTATTCATGCTCTAATTAAATCAATACTTGTCAGTTACTAAATGTGGTGTCAGATGCAGATGTGACTATCAGTGTAATCCACATCTCATATATATTGCACAAAAATGCTCAAGGGCACCATATTGTAAAATAATGCAAGTTATTGAATGTTAATTAATAATCACAAACATTGTCATAATCATTTTATTTACAGCTAAAAACCTATTCAATGACAGAGAAGACAAACAGTTTGTTAGTTTTTATACCAGATTAAAGAACTTTTTCATCTGAACTGTTGCTGCTGCACATTGTGTGAGATTCTGTCGACTTTAAGGATGTTAAAAGCTCTAATGGTCACAACTGCATCTGAGACCACAGTTAGTAGATGAGTAAGAGTAAAATGACTGATGAATATGTAACTCAGTATATTTATGATTCTTCCAGTTATTCACTGCATGAAGGAATGTTATAAGAAACTTTTTTAAATTGGACGATTAAAGATTGATGACTTGATGATAAATTAACATTTTTGAGTAAACTATCACTTTAAGTGTTCTGATTTGCTGAAGTTTTATAGATATTATTTTTTACCTTTATTAGCAGACAAAAAAAAACACTACACAATACAGTAAGGACTGAGATGTTGTGTAAATGTAAAAAAAACAACAACAAAAAAACATCTACAACAAATGTTTTTCAGCTGTATGCTCAGTCTACCCCACTTGAAACTATTTGTATAAGTGGCCATAAACCCAATAAGGTCATCTTTACGTCATTATTCAGTTTTCCTCCACTAGAGGTCGCTGTGATGATCAGATTATCCACAGCTCTGATTCTCTCACCTCTCGCCGGGTTCAGTGGCGCGCGCCTGTAATCCAAGCTACTGGGAGGCTGAGGCTGCGGATCGCTTGAGCTCAGGGCTTCTGGGCTGCAGTGGACTATGTCGATCGGGTGTCCGCACTAAGTTCGGTATCGATATGGTGCTCCTTGGGGAGCTCGGGACCACCAGGTCGTGTAAAGAGGGGTGAACCGGCCCAGGTCGGAGACGAAGCAGGTCAAAGCCCCCGTGCCGATCAGTAGTGGGATCGCGCCTGTGAATAGACACTGCAGTGCAGCCTGAGCTACACAGAGAGATGCAGACTTTTGATTTGCACATTTGTTCTTTGAGTATTTAAAACAAGCTATAACAATGATCCTAAATAAAACCATCAACTGCAGTATACTATAAAACAACATAAAATAAGGTGCTAATGCTTTTTTCCCATGTTATCGGGTAAATTTGTAATATAATGTTATGAAATAAAATAGAAATAAAAAAAATAAATAAAATTAGTATGTGCAACCAGAACCAATTTAAAAACAATCAATTCAGAAAAAAATAAAATGAAATAAATTATAAAATATAGGCCTAGTAGTGTGAATGTGTGTGTGTATATACACAAAGTCAGAATGAATTAGTAGTTCCCCTGTTTTTTCCCACCCAATTTCTGTTTAACAGAGAGCAGATTTTTTAAACACATTTCTTAACATAATAGTTTTAATAACTCATCTCTAAAAACGGGTTTATTTTATCTTTGCCATGATGACAATAAATAATATTTTACTAGATGTTTTTCAAGACATTCCTTTACAGCTTAAAATGATATTTAAAGGCCTGTCTAGGTTAATTAGGTTTGCTAGGCAGGTTAGGGTGATTAGGCAAGTTATCGTATAACGATGGTTTGTTCTGTAGACTATCAAATATAGCTTAAATAATAATTTTGACCTTAAAATCTGCTTTTATTGTAGCCAAAATTAAACAAACAAGACTTTATCCAAAAGAAAAAAAATATTATGAGATATACTGTGAAAATGTCCTTGCTCTATTATTATATTATTATCACTAATATTACAATCACTTTGTATTTGTCTATGCATATTGCCTAAAAATAGTGTGTTTACCACACCCAGAGTTCATTTTATCAGTTGCTATTCATTACCAAAGCATCTAAAATGCCAAGAGTTCATTAGAGTTTATCATATAAACCTCTGAAATGAGGGAAAACAGGTTTAAACTGCCAATTAAAAGCAGCTCACTGTAGCTGAATATTCACTCATTCATTGGTAACTCCCTAATTCACACTCTTTAATCTTCATACTCTTACTCAGCTTCTGGTGTCACATGCAGTTGTTTATTGGTTAATTTCTCATCTAAGAAACTCCACAGCATTTCACGAAATGTACCGAGGGTAAAAGCTGATAAGTTGTTTTCAGCTTTAACAAGCACATCATTCTATTCCTCAGATGCATCTCTGAGCTCTTTGCAGAACTGGTTTAAATTATCTTTCATTAGTAACAGAAAGATTCACCTGCACAATTCACAAATTCAGGACACGTTTGCAAAATCAATAAATAAAAATAAGAGAATATACATAGAAAACATGCCTGATACATTTTGACAACTATTCAATATTTTACATCCATCTTCAGCAGTGAATCTTCTTGAATGAAGTAAAACCAGTAAAATCTACTGTGATCAAAATGGCACAAACAGTTCATAAAGCGGCACTAGCAATTTGTTTTAAAAGAATGAGAAATTGCTTTTGTTATTTACACAAGTGACTGATGTGGATGCTGAAGAAAAATATTTGAGACTTTTGATTGTGGGAGAAATGTGACAAAGCGAGAAAGAAAACTAAGATAAATTGTCAGATCACACGTCTCAGCTTAATATAATTTTGCCCAAACAATCCACCTGTATAAAGTAGCCTGTTTGCATTTCATTTTCAAACATTTCATTTGCATCTGCTCTCATTTAATTTGATACGTGAATATTATTTTATTTATAATTTAAAATGAATTAAACATTTTGTGTTTTTTGTTGTTGTTGTTCATGATGTTGTAGTTTCTCCATTATTGCAAAGCTATAGTCCTAACAGTATAAATACAGTACAGTACAGTACAGTACAGTACAAACACACAAAATTGTGAGTCTTACTAGATTTTATCCATATATTAATGGTTATTTGTTTGTTTCATGGATTTTTTATGTTTTTTAGGAGCATATAATGGAAGGTCTAAAATCATTCTTGTATTTTGACGCAGTAAAGCCCAATCAACACGGAGATTGTCAAAAGAAAAACAAAACACATTTATTAAACAGTTCAATTGTGTTAACTTTATTATTCATTCATTTATTCATTCATCCATTTTTTCAGCGTAGTCCCTTTATTCACTAGGTATTGAAACAGCAGAATGAACCGCCAAATTATGCAGCATATTTTTACCACACAGCGGATGCCCTTTCAGCTGCAACCCAATGAAGCACTCGTACTCACACACACAGCTAATTCACCGGGTGGACCATTTATATGGATACACCTTAAGAAAATGAGAATGGTTTTTGATATTAACGTCCTTGTTATGGCACATGTGAGGGGGCAAACTTTTCAATTTTCCATTTTGAAATCGGCCTGCTTGGGTCCAACTTTTGTTTTTTCAATAGGAAGAGGGGCCATTTGACACATAAAACTTATCGAGAATTTCACAAGAAAAACAATGGAGTGCTTGGTTTTAATGTAACTTTATTCTTTCATGAGTTATTTACAAGTTTCTGACCACTTATAAAATGTGTTCAATGTGCTGCCCATTGTGTTGCACTGTCAATGCAACCCTCCTCTCCCACTCTTCACACACTGATAGCAACACTGCAGGAGAAATGCCAGTACAGTCTTCCAGTATCTGTAGTTTCAGGGGCTAGACATCTTGTCTCTTCACACCATACACAATTGCCTTCAGATGACCCCAAAGATAAAAGTCTTAGGGGTCAGATCAGGGACACTTTGGGGGCAATTCAACTGGCTCACGACGATCAATCCACTTTTTAGGAAACTGTTCATCTAGGAATGCTCTGACCTGACACAATAATGTGGCAGTGCACCATCTTGCTGGAAAAACTCAGGGAATGTGCCAGCTTCAGTGTGTGAAGAGGGAAACACATCATCATGTAGCAATGTCAAATATTCAGTGGCACTGAGGTTTCCATTGATGGCGAATGGCCCCACTATCTTTGTTGTTGATGGTGTGAATATGTTACAATTAAAATATATGGACAAATTATGATTATTTCTCAAATATGTCAGTAATCTGGTTATTGCTTGATCAAAGATTTTCATGAGTGAATGAACTGATTTAAGTGTTAAAATCAGACAAACTATCCCATCCAAACTGCAAAAAATATCTGTGAAAAAAAACTCATATACTGAAATGAACTCTCTTGAAATGCATTCTGAATGAAATTAAAAACTTAAGCCTCATTTTCTTAAAATGATTTTAATAGGCTTCTGTGACCTTACCTTAAAAACTACGCTTTGTTGTGTTTAAATGTCTTTTTTTGAAGACATTAGTCCGTCCAGTGACCTTTGAGTCATGTGTATAAATGGAACTCCACCCAAACTTACTCTCTGCTTTTTGTGATGCTTTCATAGATTTTGAATTATAAAACTTACTCATAATTATGTCCTTTGTCCAGTTGCACATTCCTTCAGATATAATACACACAAAAACACACTCACACATACATAAAATATCTTATGCATTTACCTCATTTGGGTGGAATCTCCTGTCCTTTAGCACTAAAACTAGTGGTGACACACACACATACACACACACACAAAAATGTAAAACCCGCCCTCAAGCTCTAACTATAAAAGAGAGCACAGCAGGCTTCAAAGGCAGCACTTCTACTGTTTTTTTGTAGTGTTTTCTTTGCGTTCATCTCATCTCTGCATCGATCCACCATGGCATGCTCCAAAACCTACCCTGAGACTTGTTGGAAGACCTGCTCTGAATCCAGCCCTGAGACTTACTCCACAAGCTGCTCAGAGACCTCTGAGATCTGCCCCAAGCCTTGCTCCTTCACCTTCCCCGAGACTTGCAGGAAGACTTGCTCTGAGACCAGCTCTGACTCCTGCCTGAAGACCTGCCCTGAAACCTGTTCTACCCAAAGCTACCCAGAGACCTGCTATGAGAGCTGCCCCAAGCACTGCTACTCCACCTGCCCTGAAATCTGCCCTAAGCCTTCCTCGTTCACCTGCCCCAAGACCTGTCTGAAGACTTTCTCTGAGAGTAGCTCCATAACTTGCCCTGAGACCTGCTCCAACACCTGCACCGCACCCTGTTCTTTCACCTGCCCTGAGACCTGTCTGAAAACTTGCTCTGAGACCTGTCCCAAGCCCTGTTCCTTTACCTGCCCCGAGACCTGTCTGAAAACTTGCTCTGAGACCTGTTCCAAGCCCAGTTCCTTCACCTGCCCTGAGACGTGTATTAAAACCTCATCTGACATCTGCTCCAAGCCCTGTTCCTTCACCTGCCCTGAGACCTGTCCCAAGTCTTTTTCAATCACCTGCCCCCAAACCTGCTCCGAGACCTGTCTGAAAACTTGCTCCGATACATGTCCCAAGCCCTGTTCCTTTACCTGCCCTGACACCTATCTTAAAACTTGCTCTGAGACATGCTCTGAGACCTGTCCCAAGCCCTGTTCCTTTACCTGCCCTGAGTCCTGTCTTAAAACGTACTCTGAGACCTGCTCTGATACACTCTCCAAGTCCTGCTCCTTCAACAACCCCAAACCCTGCCCTGACAACTGTCTGAAGACCTGCTCTGAGACCTGCTCTACAACTTGTTCTGAGACCTGCTCCAAGCCCTGTTCATTCACCTTCCCTGATACTTGTCCGAAGACTTGCCCGGAACCCTGCACCTCAAGCTGCCCAGAAACCTCATCTGAAACCTGCCCCAAGCCTTGCCCCATCTCCAACCCCAAGTCCTGCTTTAGCACCTTCTCCAATAGCTGTTCCGTGTCTTCAGTGACCGTTCCTCGTCATTGTAGAACAGTTACAACAAAAGCCCACAGTGTATATGGTTGCGGTGTTGGAGGAAGGACCCGCATCTCTTCTTGCTCCTATCGTCCAAATACTTGCTCCCCATGTCCATTATACAAACTTGATGGATTCGGTGAAAGATTTGGTGCTAGAATCATGGCTGGAGGGTGTTATGGCAGGGATTATGACTATCACCAGTTGAATGAGAAGGCCACCATGCAAAACCTGAACGATCGTCTGGCGTCCTACCTGGATAAGGTGCACTTTTTAGAGGCTGCCAATGCCACTCTGGAGAAGCAGATCTGTGATTACTTTGAGAAGAAAGACCCAATCTGTCAGAAAGACTACAGCTGCTACCTGAAAACCATTGACTGCCTTCAGAAAAAGGTAAAACTTGAAAGATTAAAGACAATTAAGGGTGGATATGTTTTTTTATTATTATTATATTGCAAAAACCAAGTATGAGGTCTAAATTATGTAACACATTTCAGCACTTTGTGTTGTAATACCCTTGAATTAAAAGTTTGCAGGCACCCCAAGCAACACAATGCAATCTTTTTAATATAAAACTATTTTGAGTGTGAAAAACAACTGTATAAAATAATTGTTTAATAGCCTGATTTATCTTTGCGTTTTTCTATGCCCATGCTCTTTCTCATAGATTAAAGATGCTACAATCACCAATGGCAAAATCCTACTCCGAATCGACAACTCTAAACTGGCTGCTGATGACTTCAGGATAAAGTGAGTTCTCTAAAGTCATTTTCACATTTACTTCATTTAGAGCAATGGACTCAAACTCAAATCCCCAAGAGCCGCAGCTCTGCATAGTTTAGCTTCAACCACCTCCAGCTCACACCTGCTAAATAGTCTGTAGTAGTCTTGAGCACCTTGACTACTTAGATCAGCTATGTTTGATTATGGTTGAAGCAAAACTGTGCAGAGCTGTGGCCCTTTGGGTTTAAGACCTGTGATTTAGAGGACTTGATTCAAAACATTTGTTCATTTTACAAATGTTATCATTAAAAGGATAGTTCACGGCACAATGAAAATGTTATGTGTTTCTGTTGTTGAACAAAAAAGAAGATATTTTTGAGAAAGCTGAAAACCTGCAACCATTGTGATAGCGGGAAAAACAAATACTATTGAAGTTAGGGGTTACAGGTTTCCAACTTTTTCAAAATATCTTCTTTTGTGTTTATTAAAAAGAAAATCATAAAGGTTAAACACAACTACATGATGAGTAAATGATAAACTAACCCTTTAAGTTAACTAATCCAAATAGTTTTGTGACATTTGTTTATTTTTAAACATATGTACAAGTCCCTCTACTTATCTCCCTCTAAGACAGTGTTCTCAACCACATTCCTGGAGAACCACCAGCTCTGCACATTTTACATGTCTCCTTAAGTAAACACACCAGATTCAGATCATCAGCTCATTAGCAAAGACTGAAAGACCTGTAATGGGTGACAGAAAAAGGAGACATCCAAAACAGGCAGTGTTGGTGGGCCTCCAGGGATATGGTTGAGAAACACACTGCTCTAAGATTTTGTGCAATGACTGGTTTTGTGTATTTTTCCCAAAACTAAGGACATTATTTGCTTCAATACTTGTGTTTTGCTGTGAAAATACACAAAAATAATAAAAATCTTTTTCTTTTTGATTTAAAGAATACCGTTTGACTAGACTATTAGACAAAATCCAATGACCAATAAAAAATAACTCAGACCCTAATTCTTTAGATTTACTATTTGTTAAATGCACTGCTTTCCCATGGATGGGTTGCAGCTGGAAGGGCATGCGATGCGTAAAAACTTGCTGGAAAAGTTGGGGGTTCATTCTGCTGTGGCGACCCCGGATTAATAAAAGGACTAAGCTGAAAAGAAGATGAATGAATGAATGAATAAATGCACAGATAGCTACTTTGTTCGTGTAAGTCATAGATATGTTTCATCCTCTTTGGTCAGGTATGAGAATGAGCTGTCAATACATCAGTGTGTGAAGGCTGATATTGATAACCTGCGATGCATACTTGATAAGACATGCCTGGCAAAGGCCGACCTGGAGTTGCAGATCTGCACTTTGGAGGAGGAACTTGTGTATTTGAGAAAAACTCACCAAGAGGTTGGTAGCTGTTTCTCTATAGCAGAATAGCTATAACAACCTAAACGCTATGCTTCAAAAGCCTTAATGCTTCAGTTATGTGTGTTTACAGGATGTGGCGGCACTAATGTGTCAGTTGACAAACTCAAAGGTGTGTGTTGAAGTGGACGCCGCTCCTCAGCAAGACCTCAAAAAGGTTTTGGATGACATCCGTTGTTATTATGACACCATCATAGACAAACACTGCACAGAACAGGAGTGCTGGTTCAAAGAGAAGGTGAGACTTTGATATCTTCAACTCCTCTAACTATACCATATAACATATAGTGAAACACAAGCTTTGTTTCTCATGAGTTAAACAGCATGATGTGTGTTTGTGATCTTCTTTAAGATGGCAGGTCTATGTAAAGATACTGCAATCAACACAGAGTGCCTGGAAACCTCCATGTCACGTATTTCTGATTTACGACGCACATTGCAGAGTCTGGAGATCGAGCTACAGTCTCAAATCAGCCTGGTGAGTAAGAGACATAATACCGAATGTTATAAACATCCTGGTAAAAATATTATTTTGTCTTCTGCAGCAAAGTTCCTTGATTTTTATGCCAGAATGATGATATAGTTTTTAACCATTTTGACAGAAAATATCAACTTAAAAATGTTTGTCAGTCTTACCATATAACTACAGAAGAGTCAAGCTTTAAATGGTAAAATTAGTCTATTTGACGTATTTGAGCGAGATGCTAATGGTCTAATCTGAACTCTGCAGACCCGTTACCGGGTTCGTGACGTCATCGACTTTCGCTTTCAGATTTAAAGGGCTAGCATTGCACCAGACCCTTGTAAGTAGTGCCGTTTGAAAGTGTAGAATCTATATTTTATGCACATATGCATCACTTTGGTTGTTATTCTACTGTAAAAAAGTTATTTACACTTAAATACACAGTATTTTGGATACCCGAGCTCGGTATTTTACATTGGTTCATTTTCATATTTTTTTATATGACACATGTACAAGTTATAGCTCAAATTAAAGCTCTTGCCGGTGCTCATACAGTTCTAGCATTCTTTTTACTGAATTATATTCATACAATTTGTTTCAAACAGTTGTTGAATGAATTGTGGTGTTTCCATGGCGCAGAAATCTAATTCATGATCAATAAGCAGCCCCAGATAGCACAGACAGCTGTCATCTCTTACCTTATGCTGTGCCCTTCAGGGCCATTCTCCTCTGTTTTTGAGGTGATGTGCATAAGTAATCATTTTATATGTCGGATGTGGTCCAAACACAGTGATTTATGTTTGATCAAACAAAAGAATAGTGAAATATGTGAACAAGGATCGGTCTCTGTGGCTTGTACAGCACCTCTCATCAGTTGGACTGCAATAACTTTTGCATAGATTATGGTAGAGACATTTTTCTTTTTTCCTATGATTACAGACATGTGTAGGAACCACAAAAATTAATTACAGCATGCTAGACCACACATAACCTTTCAAATTTGAGTTTATAAAAAAAATACAAAAAGCGCCTCTTTTTTCGGTGTTTATTATAACACAGATGACATATACAGTTATTTTAAATACTTTCAATAATGTTTTATTAAAATTCAAAGGGTTTTCTTTAAAATGATACCAAATTTTTTGCATTTACACCTCTGCATGTGGATTTGGGAAGCTTTTAAATTTGGGTAGGCAAAATCCAGGCGGAAATCCCCAAATAGCAGCAGAGTTTAAGTGGTTAATGATTTATGCTAAGCTAAGCTAAAAGTGATCATGTCAGACCTGGAGATCAGCCAGTAAAAAATAGTAAAACTCAACATTTTAACTCTAACAGACTCTAAAATGTGCCCGTTTACAAAAGCTGAGTGAGCCAAAAATAAGCTATTGGAAATTAGTAAGAGAATGTTACACCAAAGTCCAATGACAAGTCAAAATCTTAAAACAGTGAGTCAGTCCTAACAAACATTTATTTCAAAGAGCAATTTGAAGACTATTTGCTATTCAAGGTAAATGCATAAACATTTTTTTAACCATCATCATGACAATCATTTTTCATTAAAGATGACCTTTGCACAATCACTTTTATAAGGGGTTTAAACACAGTTGTCTGGCAACAGTGTGTGAATATAGCCAACCTCTAATAAAAAAACAAGAATTCAATTCATTTTATAATCACACTGGATAAAAAAAGTCTGCAGAAACAGTATGTGTCATCAGAGTAGGAAAGTCCTGTCCGTTATCAACAATCTCTTTCTTATTATCTTGAATAGTGAGAAGCTGCCATCCACAATTACAGTGTTTGCTCCATTCCTGCTGAAGATAATGTAAAGGAATTATAAACGTGCAGTTTGAAGCTGCGGTCACACTGCACTTTTCTCCCTATAGACTTTTATTCATACGCACGCGAATGCGTCAGAAACGCAAGATCGTGCGGCAAGTTTCGCAGTTTGTTGCATTGGAAAGTTCAAGCTCGGTGAACATCTGACCTGCGAAATTGCATCACATGATTGCGTGAGACCAATCGAAGATCAAAACATGACCTCTCTGGACAGGAATTTAAAACATGGACCAATCGCTTGCTTTTTTTTTTTAAATGTCTAATCATCTAGTTTAATCCCGCCCCTTTTTGCATCGCCTTACAACAGAATTTCGCACGCACAAACTCTAGTGTGACTGCAGCAATAGGATGCACAAATGAACATTCTATTGTCCATAGGCTGCCTTTTTCTGAGCCATTTCTTTAGAAATTTTAAGTTTTTCACAGAGTTAACATTAGTCCTTTTGTGAATCTGTCACTATGCTAATGCAAAGGTATTTGTAGCTTCGCTCCCTTTTAAAAAAAAAGATAACTGGATCACAATATTATTCAAATTTAAAGCGACAGTCATCAAAAAGACACAATTTCGATCAAATACTCAGAGTTATAAAAATATTTGTGGGGTATTTTGAGGCGTCTTATTCACACTCAATGGACATCTGAGATTTATTTAACATCTTGTAAGGGGCATAAGAGGTCCCTGTTAAAGGAATAGTTCACCAGTACAATTCCTTATGTTTTTACTCTCTTTTATCTTAAATTCAAAAGCGTTTGTTAGATATTTTAAACACATCCCAATTTACCTTTATATTAAACACAATTAGTTGAACTTAACAGTAATTTTACTGACTCACTTAAGTGGAATTTACAGTAGATTCATCTTTACATGTAAATTCTTAACTACTTCTAAGTTTTAATAGAACCAGTTCACTATTACAGTGGCCCCTTATTATTCGCGGAGTTACGCTCTAAAAATAACCTGCAATTGGCGAAATCCTCAAAGTAGTCTGCTTAATTTTTTACAGTTATTGTAGATGTTTTAAGGCTGTAAAACCCCTCACTACACACTTTATACTCTTTTATCAGCTAGGCCTTGACAATTTCACACTTTTCTCTCGTTTAAACACTCTCAAAATTCAAACTCTTGAGTCCAGTATTCTAAAATGAAACCAAAGATCAAAATCTGTTGTCAGGCACAAACATTTATCACTGTCAGCAAAAGGTTCAGATAATGCAGATAATGTTGGCATCCAGCGTAATCTTTTTTTTCTTGCAGCAACTGATCCACAAAGCCAAACCAGACTCCATCCCTAAGGTTGCACACCAGGGGCCTCATGTATCAACACTCCGTACGCACAAAAACTTTGCGTACACCAGATTTCACGCTCAAGTTTGGATTTACTAACGATGAAATGAACGTGAGAATGTGCGTTGGTCCATGGCAACTTCATGTTTGGCGTACGTGCATTTCCTGTGTGTTTGTTTTTTTCCATTGGCGACTCCTAGAAGCAATTATGTTAAATTGCACACTACAAAGTATCTTTGAGCCGTGTAATGGCAGCTGTATGAGATGGCATCATCTGCATGTCTAGCAGGTATTCAAGGTTTCCATACCATGCTGTTGACCAGCCAAACAATAAAGCACAATTTGCAGCGATCGCCGGTTTTCCCAATGTAATCAGAGCAATCGACTGCACACACATTGCTATAAAGGCACCATCTGAAGATGAATTTGATACGTGAATCAGAAACATTTCCATTCAATAATGTGCAAATAATATGTGATGCTTAAATGCGCTTAACATAATACACACACTTAATAATGATTCCAACTTGTCTTCCTCGTGATGAAGAGTAGGCAAAATCTGATATGTAATGGGGAAAAAGGAAGAATAAGTTCATCAGACGCTGGATTTGAACTAGGTTCAGGAATGATAGTGTCATAGTCATGTTGTTATGCGCTTTGTGAGCAACGCCAATCGCACCGCTAATGCCTGGTCAACGATCACTCTATTAGCTCATTCCAATGAGGTGTCCAACGAGACCCCACTGTGTTTCTCGCGTGGGGCCAACGATTTACGACACTGGTGTGCGTACCCTGATATAAACTTATGTTTACAATTCTTAAATGCATGGTGCTGGTTTTACCACTTAAAAATGTATTTTTATTTATCAAAGAAAGTTTTAAACATGCTAATGTATTTTATTATATCTGATTAAATTAAATGTTTATAAAAACTTTAACATTTATTAATTACATTACTATATAAACGTGGTAATTGGGGTATAATTTATTACAATCAAATAACAAACATTCTAATTCTAATTCAGTGAACAATGTTAGTACCCATTAAAAACATTTCATTCAACAATTACAGTTTAAACATTTGTTTTTCTGTAATTTTGTTAAATGCATTTGTTTATGTATTAATGTTAGTTATTACTTTATCATTTTGATTTTTATTTTTTTATTTTTTTACAAATGTGAAGTAATACACAGCTGTAGGTTAGGTACTTAAAGCAGTTTTCAAGAGTTCACACTTAGCTGATAATCAATAAAGCGTGTTTGGCATGCTGTCCCGGAAGAGAGCCCTGAGCTCGTAATATCCTCGAGCCCGGGGCTCCCTCCCGTTAGAAGGGCGAGAGGGGAATTCGAGGTCAGGTAGGTCTCGAGAACTCCCCTGCTTGTCACCGTGAGAAGTGTAAACTCAGGTTGTATTGGGTGATAATTTGTTTTAGTCGATTGCTATGGTTTATGTTTTTGGACGGTGGGAGGAAACCGGGGAACCCGGGGAAAACCCACGCGAACACGGGGAGAACATGCAAACTCCACACAGAAACACCAACCAGCCCGATGGGTTGGACTAGCGGTGTTCTTGCTGTGAGGCAACAGTGCTAGCCACTGGGCCACCGTGTCGCCCGATCAGAAAAAGTGGGAGGATGTAGGGGTGGAAGGGGGGGAGCTTCAAGACGAAGATAACTGGAGGGGAAAACTCAGGTTATTTATAATGCTTCTGTAATCATCTAATAGGGCTGATTACGGAGCTAACAAGGAGCCAGCCGTGTTGATTATAAGCATGTGATCCTCTCGAAATTAGTTTATGAATAAACCACACTTAACTGTTTGGTATGAAAAAGTAGAAAATATTTATATATTTATATTTACCAGCTAAAATATTTGCTATCAAATCTAAAGAGTTACAGGAACCGATACCAATAAACATATCGGTATCTGTATCAGTCAAGAATTCCATATTAGTTCATCCCTAGTAAATTTGTCTCTATTTTCTTTCTAACTCTTTCAACGCCAAAACAGAAAGGAGCTCTGGAGTGTTCACTGCTGGAAACAGAGGCGCGTTACAGCACTATGCTAGCAGGCTATCAGAAACACATCAACGCATATGAGGCAGAGCTCTGTCAGGTTCGCGCTGGCATTGAGCAGCAGGGCAGAGATTATGATGCCCTGCTGGACATCAAGAGCCGCCTGGAGCAGGAGATCGCCACCTACAGGTGCCTCCTGGAAAACCAGGCCTCTCAGTGAGTTCTTTTTCTCATTCAGATGAGTGTCGCAGTTGAAGGGTTTTACGTAATGTGATTATTCCCTGGTTTGACATGCGTCTTTTTGTCTTTCTTTTCTAGGTGCTGAAATTAGGTCATCACAATCTGTCTCTCCCTCAGTCTAGATCACATAAAACATTTTAACACATTTACCCTCTATTTATATGGTCGAACTGCAGTTTTAAGTTCCAGCACTTCATTATCATTCTGATAGAGTTGTGATGTGTGTTTCATATTAAAAATCAGCTCCAGTATTCTGGTGTCCGTTTCTTTTTTGTGTTTTGTTTGTTACATGCATGCAAACATACACATTTGTGACACATTTAAAATATTTTAGTTTTTGTTTCTTCATAGATCATGTGTAAATACTTTCATTTTTGAATGCAAGGAAACTTACAGTAATTTATGAGTACTGAAAGCCCAGCTATAATTCCGAAGGCCTGTTGCAGAAAAATGGTTTGGGTTTTTACCTAAGTAAGTTTAGGTTATGTTTGAGCAAACACAAAGAGTTTTCAAGCTCAACAAGGTGAGTTGGTTTTGTTGCCATGATAACTAAATGGCTAGTCTGTTCCAGAGCAAACTTTATTTCAAGTTAGATTTCAAACTCAAACTGGACCAATCAGCTGTGATTAAAGTGACATATATCTGATTCAATGACTGACTTCCAGTTCCAGTGTGTTTTTGTTGCTCCAACATTTTTACACTAAAAGCATTATTGTTATTATTTTCTAATTGGTCTAATTTAATATATTTTTTTATCAATATGTTTGCTTTATATCATATATTAAAATAGTTTTGAATTTTACTTAATATTATTAACAGAATTAAATTAGTTTTACATATAAATATTTACATATAAATTTGCTTAAATACATAAAGCTTTTAAAATCATTGACTGAGATTTTTGTGAACCTACATTATTAAAGTCAGTTCACTGATTTGACATATTATTTGACATATAGCATCAGCAGTGTTTATACATTGCAAAATAATTATCCATAAGCTATCCTGTTTTGGGATTGGTTTCCCCCTTTATATGATTTAATTACATTATGACATCGATCTTTTAACCTGTGACTTTTATTAACATTTTTATTAGTATAAAGTGGTATATTGTCTGGGTTGGTCTTGTATCACTTTACAAAACCTAGTTATTATAGATCTAAAAACAACCAGTTAATTTTATGTATTTTACAGACTTATAGGCTATATATTAGGCTATCTCTTACACATTTTATGATTTCAAACATCTAAAAGTCACTTTGTTAAACTGAGTGGAATTTTCAACATCAGGTTGACACCTTAAAAAAGCAGAAATCAAAATAACCATAATGCAATTCTAAACTAAACTGTAAATAAACGGAAAACACTAGTGAATCATAAAGTACAGAAACTGTTAATTCTTCATTTAATATTAGCGAACACTTTGTATAGATTTATTAATTTACAAAAAATAAAGTCTAGAATAAGTCACAATTAACCAATTTATAGTTATTATTGTAATTAAACATATTCATCTCTACAACTTAATTTTTACTGTTAGAAAGACACAACAGTAATGAAAAACAAAAGTCTGCGTCTCTCAGGCTGCACTGCAGTGTCTATTCACAGGTGCGATCCCACTACTGATCGGCACGGGGACTTTGACCTGCTTCGTCTCCGACCTGGACCGATTCACCCCTCTTTAGACGACCTGGTGGTCCCGAGCTCCCCCAGGAGCACCATATCGATACCGAACTTAGCGCGGACACCCGATCAACATAGTCCACTGCAGTCCAGAAGCCCTGAGCTCAAGCGATCCGCAGCCACTGCCTCCCAGTAGCTTGGATTACAGGCGCGCGCCACTGAACCCGGCGAGGGCTGAGAGAATCAGAGCTGTCAATAATCTGATCATCACGGAAAATTAAAGTTGAAGCAAACTTGACTTTGTGACATTGAATACAAACAGACTGTACCGTTGGAAAACATTTTTTTATGTCACCAAACAATATCACAGTCATTACTGTTATTGTATGTGCATATTTTTCTGCCTGGTAAAAATTAGTAAATAACAAATATTTTTAAAGTTTAAACACATCAGAACAATTGAAGAATGAACTACATGTGTGAACTACATGTTAATTCATAATTGTCATAGTCATAATTTTGTGGTGAATTATCCAATTAAGATTAAGAGTTCAAACATTAAAACATTATTGTTTTAATCCTTTAATTAGCCTAAATTAATTAATTAATTAATTAATTAATTATGTAATCCTTTAATTAGCTCCATAACAGTCATTCATGCAGTGAATGACTAACATACCGAGTTACAGATCTATTTATTAACTTTTACTGAGATACTAGCTGTGGTGTCAGATGCAGTTGGGTACATTATGCTAAAAAACACATTAACCCTGGGGCGAACAGTATGAAATACAGCAACAACAACTCAGATTAAAAACCACAAGTTCTTTAATCTGGTGTATACCTAAAAAACTGTTTGTCTCACTTGATACTTGATACTCATTGTATTAAGTAAAGGTTAGTCAGTGGTTTTCAGTTGCCATTAAAACCTTTACTTTTTCTGATGAACTGTGGCGTATTTGACAATATATTTTGCTGCTAAATGGCAAATCATAAACAATTTAGTTATTAAAATATTGATGTTATGCCTTATTCATTTTATATTTTATATAAATTCCATTTTTGCATAAAAATGTGACTGAGTTCCTTTATACTTGTCGTCTAGATGTGTTACTGTTGTTTTTTAAGCTATAACAGTAAAGCTGACAGTTTTCATTAAATATAGAAATACAGTATATTTATGCTATATACAGTATAATAAGCTTTCCCGTGTAGTTGAAAAATATAGTATTTACTACGAAGCACTACACCATTTTCAATGAGGACCATGTGTATTTTTTTTATCCATTGCCATAAAGCAAATGTCAACTTTACTTCATCATTCAGTTTTCCTCCAATAGAGGTCGCTGTGATGATCAGATTCTTGACAGCTCTAATTCTCTCAGCTCTTGCCGGGTGCAGTGGCGCGCGCCTGTAATCCAAGCTACTGGGAGGCTGAGGCTGCGAATCGCTTGAGTTCAGGGCTTCTGGGCTGCAGTGGACTATGTTGAGCGGGTGTCCACGCTAAGTTCGGTATCGATATGGTGCTCCTAGGGGAGCTTGGGACCACCAGGTTGTTTAAGGAGGGGTGAACCGGCCCAGGTCGGAGACGGAGCAGGTCAAATCCCCCGTGCCAATCAGTAGTGGGATCGCGCCTGTGAATAGACACTGCAGTGCAGCCTGAGCAACACAGAGAGACGCAGACTTTTTATTTATTTGTTCTTTGTTAAAAACAGCTATAAATAATTACCACAAGCCAAAACAATACTGAATAAATTATTTTAGGGAACACTGCACCCTTTTCTCATTTTACGAGTTAAACTGTTTACAAAATAAGGTGCTTATGCTTTTTGCTCAGTGTTTAATGTGAAGTTTTAATATAATGTAGCCTACAGGTTTACTGAACCTGGCCATTTTAGGTGATCTAAAAGACAAAATAAAACCTCAATATGACTGTCTGTATATGATAAATAAATCTGAGTGCCAAAAAGTATATGCTTATTAGTTAAAAAATATTTTTTATACATCTTAGTATTTATATTTAATAATTAAAGTTAACAAAAAGTTACATACATTGTGTTAAACTCTAATCTGTGCTTTATTTAAATACCTTAAATATACTTTATTTAATAAGAATATATGCCACCTAAAAAAATAAGAGTGTGATGTACTCATAAACAGGCAAATTTCAGTTTAAAAGATGACCAAGGTTGCTGTTTAAATAAGAAATGAATAAAAGAGGATTTAAAACATTGCTTCTTAATCAATCTTTAATGGTGAATTGTAAGGCAGTCAGCACAGTGCACTTAATACAGTTGTACTCTGTTACATTCTTTGCTTGCATCTGATGTTGTTTATATGAATTGTTTACATGCTACTGTTTCCACTGGTGTTGAACAGACAAAAACGCCCCCTGAAAAAGCGAGAAAGACATATTAATAAATGACTTATAGGCTGAACTTAAAACACTGTAGAATGTGTATATAAAGAGATTTTAGATACCCTCTTGAGTCCTGTAAAAGGAAACAAAACATTTTGCATTAGCAGAGTTTTTTGCTGGGAAAATAATGTGGCATATTTTCACAGAAACAAACCATTATCAAACATACTTAATGGCCGATTTTCCAGGAGGCACCTGTAGGTGGCGATCTCCTATATATATATATATGTTTAGAAATGTATAAAAAGTTATTGTTGCATTATTATTCATTGTTTTTTTTTTTTACATAATTTAAATGTATTATTAAAGAGGTATACACTACGATCTCTTGACAGCAAGAAAGAGTGAAAATAAAAAAAAAATTAAAGTGTGTATGTTCTTGCATGGTGGGAGATGGGTAAAGAAATCTATTGGCTTTAGTTTTGCAGGCAGTGTTGCAGATAGCTATTGCTTAAAACAAGGTTCAAAATGAGTTTACACTCTTTAAAACAGCTCAAATTAATTGAGTCATTTGCCAAAAGGCCTAAAACTAATAAAACAAATATTGATTGCCCACACGAGGAGACAGGCAATCTCATCAGCACCTGAGCCGGGGGAACTCCAGGCCCAGCCTATGTCTCTTTCTTCGGACAATTCAGATCCAGCTGTCAGCTGCGCAGCCTCCTCGCATGGAACCGCTACCATTCAAGGCATTTTAAACAATTTATCTGTCAGTCTGGCACACATAAACAGACATCTCCATTCTCACCACGAGTTTCTGAGTTCTCTCAGCCTTCCAATCGAGTTTGTTCCGCTGAGATAATCTGGGAACACGTTCAGTGTTGCTGCAAATACTTTGTAAATGTCTGTCCTGCTCATTCAAATTATTTATTTAATTAAATTAATTAAATAGTAATTGACCGGTGTAATGGACGATTTTGTCATTAACGTTAAAAACAGGTTAATATAGGCTTCTCTGATACTGTAAATATTTCATTTTTATTTTATTTAGACTAGATTATAATTTTATTTAACAAACCAGTTCGTGTTTTGGTGCTGAAGCATATAGCGGACTTGTTTTAAAGCACTTCACCTCAAATGTTATTCGTTCTTTAATTTTATCTAGTAGAAAACTGACCAACAAACAATACATTAAAATTAAGATATTATAAAATGAAATTTTACCAAATGAAAGTCATTTCAAAAAGATACATAAGAAAAA